GGAATATTCTGGCTCAAAAGGGAATGGCTGAGGCAATAGCTGTCTATAAAATCCTAAATAACATGGAGAAAATGAGTAGGGAGTGCTTGGTCAGTGTACTGGAAAATAGCTGGGGCCATCAAGTGAATATCTGCATGCAGAAGTCCTTGCTGGAGGGTGTTGCAGATGCTAAGGGGTTTACATGGTTCAAAAAGCAAGTGGAAAATCCATCAAGGGATATTAAACATAAGGGCCCATTGCTGGTTCAAATTACTTGCCCACCTGATCAGCTCTTAAAACCTAGCCTGAACATGGTGAACAGACTAATAACCAGTGCACTGTGCAAGTCTGCAAGTGAAGCCCTAGAAAATATTAGGGATAAAGGGGCCCTGTTCCTGCATGAAATACGCACTGCAGAGCAGCCTCCAGATAACTAGCAGTAAGCAATACTGGTCTTCCAGTCCTAAGGTGCAACTGATGGTCTCTAACGAGCAAAACCCCTTTGCTCTTCCTGTGTTCCCGGTGCTGAAGTACAACTCTCCAGTACAAGGACCTACACATATTTGGAAAGGACATACACAAGTTTTAAAACTTTCTTTCAGCCTTTCGCTCCTCTCCCCTGCTCCGTGCCAAGGCAGCATTGCTGAGTTCAGGCAGAGTGTCAGACGCAAACCCAAGGCCACTGCTGGTTCCCATCAGCTGCGAGGTTAGACAGGGTCCACAGAGCCGGGGGTCTGGTACACCGGGAACGAGTGGTGGAAAACAAACTGCAATCTCCAACCTCAACCGGGTGGAAAACAAACTGCAATCTCCAACCTCTTCCTTCAGTCTGGGAAGAGATTGTGGGAATGACATTCTGAAACCAAAGAAATGAAACATCACAGACAATCTCGGCCACTGCAGTGTATGATGAGGTATAACCATGGGTTAGTGCAGTCCACCCAGAAGTGCAAGAAACTCCAGTAACCAAACATGACTTGCATCCCTGTGATTATTTCTAGATGTGGATGCACTGCAGTTGAAGGTGTGACTGTGGCACATACAGAGGTGTACCCCATGGCCGGCTTTCTGCTAGTAAGCTTGGTGCCAGCGGCACGGGTTTTGCTGTGTGCCCCACTATCGATGGGTGACGCTGTGCCAAGCAGAAGTCCAGGCTGCTGAACCCTTGCTGGTACTGCTGCTTAGCCTGGCAGGATGAAAACTATCTTATGTCTATCTACAACATGATGCAATCATGCTTCTGACTGTAGTGTGAAAACAGACCAAGAGAAATAAACCTAAAACTAGCTACATTTCCACTCGCTTTTGTGAAACCATTGCTAGAGTTAATCATGCCACTTAGCATGATTATACCGAAAGAGAGAGCAGCACGGATGCCAGAGGAACAGCTCTGTGGGATGCTGAACAGCTTCAGCTCCCCCTGGAAAACAGAATTAAACCTCAGTTCACATATTCCACCTTTTAAGAAAGTCTTTTTTGACCAAGACTCAGGAAACCACATTGCACCGCCATTTTTCCTGGCACCAGAGTCTGTGTCTGATGCTAGAGCTGGACCTGGAAACTGAATTCATTTATTCCCCCCCCAAACTTACAGAGCAGCCATCATTCACCATAACATGTCATCTTAACAAGCTGCAAGGCAGAGATACTTCACATTTGAACCGACTGGTGGCAGTCAGTGAATAACATCTAGGTAACCAGAACACCCTTCATCATGAACCTGATACGTTTAACAGCTAATTAAATCTGTGTAGGGATTAGGCTTTACATTGTATAGTTTTATGGCAACAAAACCTGAGCTTCCTAAGATTACATTGACCAGCTCCTTATCTCTGATGCTGAGATGCTTATCAGCACCATATGTTAGGAGCTCCTGCTATGTTTCCCAATAACCTTCTGGGACTTAATCAGCCTGAATGTCAGGGGTTGAGGAGCTGAGGACATATATTATGACACAGAATGCAACTCTCAGCCAGGCAGAATGAAAATCCAGGGCCGGAGTCCAAAGAAAAGGTCTTTGTTGGTTAACTTCTGTCCCTAATAAATTTGTCAATTAGGAAGAACAAACGTTAACTTTGTTTTCCTTGTCCTTGCTGTTGCTTTGTGAGGTCCCATACTGCGAGGTAACACAGGGTGTGTACTCAAGTATCAGCGATGAGGGGAAACCTCAGATGATTCACGGTTTGGGAATGTTTCACATAAAAATAGCAAATTCCAGCTTTATATCTGGAGGCTATCCATGCTACCCAACTATGTTTTCCAGCCTTAGAACCATCAGAAAGAGATGAATTAGCAGGAAATTTTTGTCCCCAATTTCAACAGCTCTGTGATTGTAGTCTTTTTTAGTCACATGCTGCTTTTAGAATTAACAAGCACTCTGTCCCAAAAGTCCCCAGGCATGGTGCCTGGGGATGATCACATCAGAAGAAGACATGGAGGATCATCATAACACTTTTTATGCTTGTGTGAAATACAGTTGCTTGTGATTGGAGATGCGTTAATAAGAAAAGCTTAGGCAAGGACTGGATTTGCTAAGACATTTCCATGCAAAGAATGAGATACATATTACAGTATCTTTTGCAGGGAGAAGGACCTAGCTACTATGCTTGAATGCCCCTGCATTCTTCAGATGGGCTGTGTTTACGTTGATAAGAACTGACATGAGCCACCTTCAAGCCCCAAAACTGCCTGTTTCAGGCACGGTTCTGTTTGATTCCCCATGTCCAAACCCACGAGCAATTACAGTTCATTCTGGCAATTCTTCTGAACAAGAGGAATCAACCCCGTCACTACTTCTCCCCACTCCTACCCAGCTGCTCACAGTGATATGTTTGGATCCCTAATCTCGTGAGCGTCCCTTCTGTTTGCAGTTCATTGGGCTCAGATCCAGGCTGGAATCTCCCATGCATTTCACGGATAAGGATGCTGATCCAAATGCTGACACTTCACTGCATGGCTGCAGAATGGAGATAAAGCCAGGACTGGTTTGCGAGGCATTTGCAAATCTGTGCACTATACGTCTGTCATTTCATTGAAAATATCCTTTTTGGAATTTAAAGCATCTACCAAGACAGATGTGGCCTGACTGGGGTTTAGCTGAACGTGCTGTATTCAGAATACAACAAAAAGTCCAGGTGTTTTAAAGGATGTAATGGCCATGGTCTAAGAAAAGAATTGTGTTACTGGATGCCAAATATATGAACACATTTATAGAAGCTTTTCTTGCTCCTGAAACTGAATATATGGGGGTTTTTGTTTGGGGTTGTTTTTTTTTTAAAGACGCTAATTTCCTTTCCTAAAGCAGGTGTGTGCTAGTTCCCACATTTTCCAGGCATCTTTAAAATGATTTGGACCCACAAGAGAGTTTCATTGGCTGACATGGATTATAAATGAGAACTCATTAGCTGAAATGGCTATATTGCAACTTCACCAGTCTGCATTATCGTGGACAACTGTTTTAGAGGTACTACAAACACACAGGGAAGCATCTGACTACGTGTATGTGGCACATGTCGTGTGTTACACCAAGCTGGAGAGCAAACAAAACTACAAAATTTAGATGTCTAAATTAAACATCCCAAACCTTGGGATCTGGAGCTCCTCCAGATCTAGGGCAGATGGACATCAATGACAGATCTCCATCTCCACCTCTGTGCCAAGACTCTCCAAACACGTGGCTCAGCTGGGTACCTACCCATCAAGATTCTGCCAGTGTCAGTATTTTATGTCCATCATATAATAATACATAGAAGAACACTTTCATTAAAGTGTTCATTCATCCCCTATATTCATTGAAGAATATTGGGGATGGGGGATGTTAAAGAATGTAGTATTGTCTGTTGAGCATACTCTACTGGCTAGACTCTTGCCTGGGAAGCAAGAGAAATGTCAGATATATACATGAAAATACAAGTCCTTCCTAGAAGCCCTTACAGCAGATCTGGGAAGACTCTCCCTTATTTTTTCACCTGACCTCCCAGCTCCTGCTTTCCTGGCTGTAAAATGCTTTTGATTCAGGGAGAGGAATGGAGAAACATTTGAAGCTTGACATCCCACAGCCTTGTAGTTGGGGCATGCACGTAGGGTGTAGAAGGTATTAGTCCCATATTCAGCCTGAGAGGAGTTTAGCAGTGAAATCTCCCACTTCCTAGACAAGTGCTCTCACTATGCAGTAGCCCATGAAGGTCTCGTTTCAAACTGCAATAAAGAGAAGTTGAATTAAAGTCTGCAGTTTGTGGTTTAACTTCCCTTGCACTTTTTTAGCATAAGTTCTTGTGATTCTTTGAGTCCTGATACCTCAACGGTGGCCAGCCTTGCACTGAGAACGAAGGCGTACACAGTGCAGAAGAGAAGGTCAAAAAGTGGACAAGAGAGTAAAAAGGTGGGAGCTTTAAGTACAGATTTAAAATAAAGGAAGATGTTGTTATGCAAAAGCAGCGACAACATTTCAGCTATAAGAAGTGAGATTGAAGAAACACAAGTGGGAAAAGATGAATAAGGATTTAAGGGAAACTGCTACTCCCCAGGCAAAAGCCGCAATACAATTAGATCAACCATTCCCTAACTGAACATAATAAACTCTTTCAGAGCAGATTCAGTCTGTACAAGCAATCTACTCCTCTGACCATTTCTCTAAAGGCACTTATTGCCAACTACTAAAAAATCACTGAAGTTTCTTTACTATAGGTACCCACAGAAACGTTCATAAACCCATACAATGGTATAAATAACTAGATTCGTTAATTGGCACTTGAAATAAGTAGCACTTGATAAACTTCCCTGTCAATAGACAGGATATAAGAAAATACATGCAAGAAAAGCAAACAGATCTACTTGTAGTCCCCATCTCTAAATTTCCAGTCCCTTTTAATAAAGTGAAAAGTTTTAGCTATTAAAAATTTTGTGACCCTTGTAATGCTACAGACCCCTGATACAAAATGTGAACAGTACAATATCCATTATATAATATATATTTATATTTTAATATATTACATTTATTTCTACATAAAGAGGCTATAAATACTGTATATGCCTTATATTCATGGTTCCCAGCATTTGACATTATAGTAAGTACAAACAAACAAAAAAACATTATAAAAATACAAAAAAGGACTCAGTAGAAATAGCTTTACATTTTAAAATCTTGTAGCCTGCATTGTGTCTATCAATAGAGCTCTGGGACTACAAGAGCACAGGTAAGAAGTTGTCCAACAATTAGTCACAATCTCACCACTCGGAGAAGATCAGAGCTGCCATGAAACCAGTCACGGATTCCCAAGACTACATAAACCAAGATCTCTGCCGGTGCAAACAGACTTGGAGTTTGCAAAGTGAAGGAGTCAGACCTACATCTGAGGGAGCGGGGATGAGATGAGAAGGTAGGATGCCCTTAGGATACCCCATCAGGACCACAGGGCTCCCTACAGTCCTAAGGTAGATTACATTGCCCTTTCTACCTGTTGCAGAGGCTGCCCCAGCGGCGATTCAAAGTGGGGGGCATTTTCTGCGGCTGTTTCAGGCTAGCTCAGAAGGTAGGTGCCTGGCACGGACCAAGGGTGCCTCTGAGGCCACCCCCAGACATGAAGCATGCCCCCAGCACCCCTGTCCCATCACTTGGCTCGGCGCTCTGCCTCCTCCCTACTAACCAACCTCACCGGGCAAGCCTTCCAAGGAAATGCAGCTCATGAGGTCTGGTACAGCAACTTTTTTTCTCCGCCAAGGACAGAGACCATTGCCCCCACCTATATTTAGCCCAGCCTATGTTTAGTCTCAGGCCGTTGGTGAGTGCCAGAGCCTTGAGCTGGAGGTTCCTTTTTTTGTTTGTTGAGGTGCAAGCAAGGGATAACTCTGAGAAACAAGAAGCCAGTGCCGTGCTGTTTCCTTCCTGGAGTCCAGCCGCAAGGGGAAAAACAAGAAAAAAAAAAAGAGCAGGGCTGGGTCATTATTTCGTACAACTAGAAACTGTTAAGTTGAATGCTGTGCTGCTGCCTGCATCGGGCAGACACTCGGCATGTCACCGGGGTCCCAAAGGCCACCACACTGCCTCTGCCATCGGGTTGGCACAGCACCCACACACCACAGACGGGGCTTTGCGCTCTCAGCCGCCAGCGTCTCTCGAGGAAAGCGCCCCGCAGCCTAGCACGGCGCAGTTTTGCTGCCAGATGTTTCTGCATCCTCTTCAGGAAAAATAAACGTCTTTTCTTAGTCTCACAGATGTGGTCTTTCTATAAATCAAACCTGAATACCACCAGTCCAGGCAAGGAAGGCACATCCCGGGGGAACGCAGAGCCGCCAGCTTTGCCCTAGAGCGGCGGGGAGGCAAGCGGCGCAGCGCCTTCGTAGGCAAGCCCATGCGCACGGCAGAGCGGCGGCGAAGCCTCCCGGGCACACAAGAGTTCAGTCTCCTCGCTGGAGTAGACGGTGGTGTCCATGTCATCTGAGTGGTACCCGGACTGGTACCCGCTCGTCTGGTTGGAGGCTTCGGACATGACGGACTCGTTACTCTTGCTGGGCACCAGCGTGCTGCGAAAAATAAGCAGAAACAGGACTGAGAGAGCTGTGGAGACTGTCTTCTGGAGGGCAGGTGGGTGATTCCTGCTGGCAGCTGATTTCCATCGCAGCAACAGCCAAAGCAAAATGGTGCACTTAGCAAAACTGGCTTCAAGCCTTTTTAAACATGCATTTGATTATAAAGAGAGACCTTTTTATACGCCCTAACTTCACTAACGCATGAAAAAGATAATTAATTTTATGACAATAAAAGGAGTTAGATTGCGACCGCAGATGAAATGGAGAGAAAACTTTGAGACGCTTCACACATTTCAGCTGTGGTGCAATCGTAACTGCAGTATATCTTTGTTTGCTCTGAAATTGTCCTGGAAAAAGTAATTCCTGAGAAGCTCTCAGAGAGCATACGTGAGGTTTCAGCTCCGTGAACGCCACTGTGCTTCCTGTGAACTGCACAATGAAACCCCTGTACAATGCTCTGAAAATACACCCAGGTACATCCTGAAAACTCAAGAGTCAGTTTTAGAAAAAAAGAAAGAAAAAGAAAAAAAAAAGAGCGCTTTGTCATTGCAGACAGGCCCTCACAAATACACCCAATTGTGTGCACCAGCTCAGCTCCTTCTAGGGGTGGTTGATGCTTTTGCAGCTGATAAATACAAGTCCTTTCTGCGGTGCTGGCTGATGCTTCCAACAGCTGCATTACCTCTCGTCTCCTGGTACCAAATGTGGATGACCAGGCATACAGTGCACAATTTTTCTTTGTGTTTTTAAAAATACAGTAAGAAGAGATTTTGTGTTCTAAAAAATTTTACAAACCAATCAGTCTTCTGACATACTGCAAGCAAAAGGTCATATTCAATCCTACATGCAGCCTGAGCCTTACCTAAAGGGTATTTTCACTTGTTTATCACTCTCTTCTAATGTCTTCAGCTCTTCAGATGCAAGAACCATCCCACTATCTGTCTGGTTTTCCTGCAAAGGTGTTAGAAATGCATTAAATGGAAAGGGACAAAAAAAGACATCAACAGAAGGAAGAAACATACAAACAACAGACAAACTCACCTCATGAACAACTTTTACAGTGGTTACCAATGGGACATCTTCAAATGTTTTCACACTCACAGGGCGGCTTTTTCTTTTGCTACCTTGTCGGTACTGACTGAAAAGAAAACAAAACAAAAAGTGTTTTGCGTCCACTCTCCACAACTTGGCTGCAAACAGCACAATGATATCAGAATCCTTTTATCTCTCCACAGAGAAGTTAATCCTTTTGTCAAAACATATTATGCAAACCTCAAAATATCCATTTATTGAAAAGGACGAGCAGCCTAGAAAGTGGCATGTTTCTGACCTTCTGCTCCTGACAACCTTGATCTCTGAGCAAATTCTAAGAACTGGCTTTGAGAAAACAGCTCCTTTCCTCAGTTACACTGGAGGGCTTCACTTCCTGCAAGCTTCACTTAGAAGTATAATAAACAGAGGAGCCTGGAGCACAGACATGTGTCTCTTCCTTTGGACTGCACTTCTGAGACCCCGGCCTGGACCTAGGACAACAACAGCAGACTCAGCAGACTGCCGCCCTTAAACCATGGGGATCAGGACAGGGAGTACTACATCTCTTGAAGGCTCTTCTCCAAAAGAAGCCCTCTGGTCAGGACGACATCCATAAAAAATATTGGACAAAAAAATAAAATTGACTTTCATGGAGGTACTAATACAGCAAACAAAACAGCTATCCTCAGCTTTTTGTCTAAGTGGATATGGAATAAAATGGATGTTGTCCCTGCTAAACAGGACCAATTTATGTTCCTAACAGCTAATGAAGAAAAAGTCATGGAGTTAGAAGAGAAGCCTGCATCCACTTGAAGTGCAAAGCTGGAGGCAATTAAGAGCATCATTCATCCCATTTCCTAGCTTTGAGTCTAGCTATGCTGAGTCCTGCCTGTGTCCCACAGACATTTATTTAAACTGGTGGGGGTTTTACAAGTTCCCTGTGTAACTTGCTCAGGTGCTCAATCACACTTTAGAATGTTTTTCAAATATTAAGCCCAAGTATTTGCTGCAAATAAAGTTTGTCCTATTGCTGGGGACACAGAATAATTAATTAGCATCCTCTTTTGAGCAACTTTTCATATACTGAAAACTGTTACTATGTTCCCTCTCCATTTTCTCTTCCTAGACTTTCTTTCAAGATCTCTGCACTGACCATGTCTTCTGCTCCTGTTACTCTGCAATGGTATTGTCCTGGTTTCAGCAGGGATAGAGTTAATTTCCTTCCTAGTAGCTGGTACAGTGCTGTGTTGTGGATTTAGGGTGAGAACAGTGTTGATAACAGACCAATGTTTTAGTTGTTCCTAGGTAGTGTTTACACTAGTCAAGGACTTTTCAGCTTCCCATGCTCTACCGACTGAGAAGGCTGGGGGTGCACAAGAAGCTGGGAGGGGACACAGCCAGGGCAGCTGACCCAAACTGACCAAAGGGATATTCCATACCATGTGAAGTCATGCTCAGCATATAAAGGTGGGGAAAGAAGAAGGAAGGGGGGGACATTCGGAGTGATGGCGTTTGTCTTCCCAAGTAACCGTTACACGTGATGGAGCCCTGCTTTCCTGGAGATGGCTGAACACCTGCCTGCCCATGGGAAGTAGTGAATGAATTCCTTGTTTTGCTTTGCTTGCGTGCGCGGCTTTTGCTTTACCTATTAAACTGTCTTTATCTCAACCCATGAGTTTTCTCACTTTTACCCTTCCGATTCTCTCCCTCATCCCACTGGGGGGGAGCGAGCGAGCGGCTGCGTGGTGCTCAGTTGCCGACTGAGGTTAAACCATGACAGTCATCTAACCCACCTCCCACCCAACCCTGCCAGGACCAAAAACACCTAACGGACAATCTAGTCCACTTACTCTCCTGGACAATCTGACCTCGAATGATGAGAAGTTCATTCCACAACTTGCCTTCTTAGTCTGAAAGCTCCTTGTGTGCTTGCATTTAATTGTCCACACAGGCACAGAACTGCATGGCCAGGACTATGGTTACCAGGGTGGTGAGAACTGGGAATCCCAGCCTCTTGATCTGAACGACCTCCCAGGTATGGGAGTCCTGCCTCTGCTCAGCCCAGACAAGAGTCAGCCTACATTGGCTACAATGAATGAGATCCTCCTGGTTAAGCCAAACAGGACCAGAAATAGTGTGCAGGCAGAGAGGGGCCACATGTGGAGTCTGACTCCTGCCCGGTGGCGGTGAGGGCTCAGCTGACGTCCTGACAGTATTTCCTGACACGTGTTTGCATTTTGTAATAGACTGTCCCATAAAAAAAGGGCCAAAAATGCCCTACAGAAAATCAAAATCCCTCTTCCCTGCTATCCACCAAACCAATTATTCTCTCAAAGAAAAGGAAACTTGGATTGGGTTGCCTTGATTTTTTCTTGACAGATTCATGGTTGCCATTTTTAGTTACTTCATTTCCCTGTAGGCATTTACCATTATTTATCTGATCGTTTATTCCAGGATCATTCCTAGGATTCAAGTTAACCTGATTTCAGGGTTACTCCTTTTCTGTTTTTTCTAAAAACAGGCATTATCTTTACACTTTCTTAAATCTTCTTTACCTCACCTGACTGTTCTTAATGACAATCTTTCAAGGTTCAGAAATTGCGTATCTATTTCCTAAGCCAAATACGGCAGATGTTAGGAGGTCCTGCTGATTTTAATTTACCTCAGCAATCTAAATATTCTTTAATATTCTCTGTGTTTTCCCTGGGCTTCCTTCTCCTCCTCCAGCTTTGATTTAGAGATTGTATTTATCAGCCTCTCCTCATAGTTAGTACTTTTGTGAAGATTGAAAAAGACATTAGTGAACAGATCAATCTTTTCCACTACGTGTATAGCAAGGTCCATGCCTACAAAATCATTTTCAGCTACCAGAACAGAAGAATAAAGCCCCAAAACATGTCTGAAGCTCCCCACTTTGCCTCTCCCAGCATGGTTTCCACAAGTGCTTTCTCACAAACCCTGTCACGCTGTAAGACAAGAGGAAAGAGGTTCAAAGTCTCTTTAAAAGCTTGATGGAGAGGTTTTACTTCTGTTCATAACAGGAAGTGGGGACTGGGGAAAGCCATATAGGAAGTATTGGAATTGAAAAATTAGAAGTTAAATCATGCTTTTGTGTCTTTAAAGTATTTATATTTTGGACTGCCCCACTACTAAAACATGGGGTTGAGAGTTCAGCTCTAGGACCATAAGTTCAACTGAAGTGCAAAATGCACTGTGCCTACCTAGTCTTTTTCAGGACCGCATAAAAATGTGATCCTGCAGTACTCAAAATCATTGGGAACTTTGTCTTTGGTGGATATAATACAAGCAGTGAGGGAGAGGGCTCCATTTTGTGGAAACCATGTGAAAACTGCCAGCAGAGTCCATCTCTGCTGTGATGGTTGGATCCACCTCCTATCCTTCTCCTTCTTCTGAGATTGCAGCAAGCACCTCAGGGCTCCCAGCATCCAAGCAGCTGAATTCGACCTTAGGCAGTGCTGAATGAGAAAATATCTTTCTCCTTTACAACCTGTGCCTGAGGTCCTCACAATGTCCAACATAAGCCCTCCTTAACGGCATTACTACAAACTCTTTACTGAGGGAGTCACCTCTGCCACAATACCCAACAGTGTATACCACTATTGGTCCATCGTGGATGCCCCAGCAGCCCACCAGCAGCAAGCAGTAGACAAAATCCAGTGGCGACACTGTTTAGGTCGCATTCCCCTTGGCTATCAATTCATGACCTATTTACCAACAATTCACTTTAGCAGGGGAAATGCCAGGGAGATTATTAATGACAGATCTATTACCATTAATATTTTAGGGAGCTGCAATACAAGGGTGTGAACACAACTGAACTGCATCAGTAAAACTTTGTATTTGTTCTGGTTCTTAAAAACTAAATAACAAATAGTCTTGCAGTTTTTTGAATGAGAATACCAAATCTTGAAAGGGTAGCAAAAAAAAAAAAAAAAAGATTCCCTAGCATTTGGGGAGGTAAGAAACTCGTTTTTGCCTGCAAAAACTCTACAGATTCATTCTTATCCCTACGGAGGAAGTTAAATATGGACCAGGCAGCTGAAGTCTCTTCCTTTCATTTTCCCTGCCCCCAGCATGAACAAAACCTGCCCAGAGGCCCCAGTAGGATGTCCACCATATAAAATACCTAATTCCTGCTGTGTTGTCATAATGGAATTTAGGATCACAGACTTCCTCTTCCTCCCTACAGGAAGCAGGTGAAGTTGGGAGAGAGAGACCCGAATCCTCTTCCATATTCAGCGATACTGACAAAGGAAGGACAACGTAGTCTTTACCATCCTGTAGAATTCAGTGAAAAAATACAAAAATTAAATAAGGCTACAGAGATACACAGACATAAACAGCCTCACACACATACGTGGAGAATGCAGCAGAGCTACCTTGGTTGTTTTATTAAACTATGAGCGTTATACCACCCTCGCAGGAGCAGCTTCATTAAAAGAGGGAAACTTAGTAAGAGTCACTGCCAAGTAGTTTTCAATTAAAAAAGAGATTTATACATGACATACTGTAACATAATGTGTAAACTGATCTTTTTCTTGATGTCTTTGAGATAAAAAATTTAAATTTTAGTAATGTTTGAATTGCAATGACACAAAGAACATGACCCTGAGAGAAAAAAATAACCTTAAACTGAAAGTGAGATTGAGTTGGACTACAGCATATGAATCATAAAGCCTAAATTAAGTATAAGAAGTAAATGAAAAAAAGAATGAAATGGAGATAGCAAAAAAGGAAGTTTTCTATCAATACTTTGGCATCTAACGATGTGAATCACACCAATAACATTTTCACAAACTTATTCCACTTGTTTACGTTTCTGCTTTAAAGTATGAAGAGAAAAAATGGATTATGCATCCTTCAGGACTGCATACTTATTTACAGTCCCATAAGAAATAATTTTGTAGATTCACCCTTTCCTCTAATTTTTTTGCATTTATCCCTTTTGGACTACAGTATGACACATGTGTAATTAGCTATTAGTTATCTGACAGTAAATCATGTTTGTCTTTTGTAGTCACAGTATACTACAGTTTATGACAAGAGAGTCTAAATCATTAGTAATCCAACCATATTAGGTTATGGGCAAATATACATATAGTATGTTCTGAACATACAACAAAACACATTTTTTACTTTGAAGGTGACCGAGCACTGGCACAGGTTGCCCAAAGAGGCTGTGGAGTCTCCATCCTTGGAGATATTAAAAAACCAGGTGGACATGGTCCTGGGCAACCGGCTCTAGGTGCTGCTGCAGGGGGACCTCCAAAGGTCCCTTCCAACCTCAGCCAGTCTATGATTTCGTGATACATAAGATGCAAGCTGCTCTGTAGGAAAGTGAACAAATTCTATCCTTTCTGAGTTTTGGTACGCACAGAAGATATGATACTTTGGAAGGACAGGTATTTCCCGTCACTACCAATAGGTTGGAAAGGGAGAACTAGTCTAATAGGAGAGCACGTGGCAAAATCCAGCCTCCTTCATCCAAGTGCTCACATCTGTTGCCCTGGCCTCGTCCACATTTGTGGTGCATGAAGAGGGAGACACAAGATGGGTAACCCAGGAGGGAGGGAGGCCCGTGTACCGCACCTGGAAGCAGTGGGCTCTCTTACCACAATGCCTGTACATTGGACAAGTCTTAATACACTTATCCGCATGGAGCTGCTGACAGGCAGTGAAATGCCTGTATCCTTGTCTTCCAGAAGAGTCATTAAAAACACTGCATCCCACATCCTCACATATGCTAAGATATCTATCTTTGGCACAGTAAGGTCAACAGGAGCTACCTGCCAAAATGCCTCTGCAGTACGCAGGGAAATCGGCAGCAGAGCAGGGAATTGAGCCTGTGCCAACAACTCCTCAGCAAGACAGCTAAGTAACCACAGCGGTGGTGTCATGGGAAGCCCTTGCTGGCAGGGCAAGGTCACTTTTGGTTATGACAACAGACCTCTGCGATCTTTCCCCCCCCCAGGTCATTCTTCTCTGCCAGTTGCCCCAGCTGCCGGTCAGTAACAGGGGCACTGGAGGAAGAAGCCCAGGCTCCCTGACGACTCCAGCAGACAGTACCCGGCCGTGGGATTTGGTGGTGGCTGGCGGGACAGGCAGGGTTCAGCTGGTGGTTTTAGCAACCAGGGAATACATTTCAAGTACCTGACGGACGTTGGCTTGCAGTAAATTCCCCAGGTGCTCCACCAGCTCTGAAAAAGTTGGTCTCTGCTTAGGATCTCCATGCCAGCAATCCAGCATTGTTTGGTACCTAGAAGAACAAAGACCATTAAAATATCACCATAAAGAAAACAGCACCTATTGCTTACTCAAGCACCTGCTATTATTGTAAGGTAAATGTGGGCAGCTGGAAGAACAGTTTCTCACATTTCTGGTGTTGTATAGTCTGGTGCTCTCATTCTTGTTCCTTCTTTCAGTCTTCTGCAAAATTCCTCGTCAATTTTCACTCCAGGGTATGGCGATGCACCTAAAATGAGAGCAACGGTAATTTTAATGCGTTAGACTCTTAAATTCTGGGATTAATTTTCAAACAAATAATTCGCTACGGCCTGAGTTAATAAGGTAATTCAGTATATTTGGATGTGCAAACAATTTATATTTATGATGGCAACAGCAACTGATTAAGTAAATGAGGCACATAATCACATACTGAAATTGTATGAAGAAGCATTTCAAGTCCATGTTCCTACATTTGCATTTTTAAGGAAATTTGAGTATTTTATTTTGATGGAGAAAATAAACAGGAAATTTTCAAGAAGTGAAAAAAAACGCTAAAGAGGATCCAAGAACACTTTGACTGTTTTCTTCAGACTCTATTGTTTAAAATTTAAGATGGCCTAGTAAAATTAAAGTGACTCACCTAATGAAAATATTTCCCACAGCAGAACTCCAAAGGACCATACATCACTCTGAATGGTATATACTCTATCAAAAATGGTTTCTGGTGCCATCCATTTTAGGGGTAGTCTGGCCTGAAAGCATTTCCGTAAACAAAAAAGTATCACAGTTTAGCAAAACACTGAGTTTCCACAAACCCATTTAAGCTGAAAAAAAAAGGAGTCCTAACTTCGTATTAATTGCCTCTCAAATAGAGAATCCGAAACTTACATCTCCTTTCCTGACATAATCTGGGTCTTTGTAGATGTCTCGAGCCAAGCCAAAATCGCAGATTTTAACCACGTTATTGTCTGACAAGAGGATATTACGAGCAGCCAGGTCCCTGTGGATGCACTGCAAAGAGAAGTAAACAACTTCATACGCTGCCTGTCGTCACAGCTCTGTCCACGGGGCTGATCTCTTTCACATATGTGCTCTCCTACCCTCAAAGGCCAGATACTTCTTAAAACCTTTTAAGAAAAAGAAACCTCAGCATCAACAGTTACTGATTTTAAGTGCTTTTTTGATGGTCACAACTGATTTGGCTCAGGGAGACTTGTGTTCCCAAGTCCAAACATACATCTGTTTATCCATTATGCAGAGAGGGCCTTTGAAGTTAGCTAATTAATTATCCTAAGAAGCTGACACAAAACAGGTTCAGATCTGATTACCTTTAGATTTACTTAGGTTCACTCAAATCTGTGAACTCCACTCTCTCTCCGAAAAGCATACCACACTAAAATGACGATTTGATTCCAACACAAATTAATCTTGACTACAGACAGAAAAATTCCATGCCTTTACCTATGCAGAATGACAGCTTAGCCAACAACCCAAAGACTTCAAAGCTCAGGCCTCAATAGCTTGAAGTAAAAAAGCCAGGCTCTGAAAGTGGCTGCAGATTTGCTTCTAGTACGGCCTAGAAATACAGATCCTGGAAAGACATCCTTTTACATATACACACCAACCAGGATGTGTAAAATGTAGACAAATATATGTTTTTAGAAAAGACTCTGAAGTCTGCTCTTGAACGCTTAGCCTGCGCCCTAGAGCAGTGTTATGTTTCCTGCTTCTATTTCCTTTTCCCATTTCTAAGTACTTTTTGTTTCTACATAACTGCAGGCAATTCCTCGCTTTTGCTGGAATTTACATCCTTTGAAACGTGTACTATATGTATTTAGGATCAAACCACAGACAAGCACTTCTAGAAGGCCAAAATGCAGGTGAGGTGCTATTGACTGCGAGGGTGTCTTTGGCAAGAAACTCCCCAAGGAGTCATCCACGAAGTTTCATAGGTGAGCATCGTCTCTCCTCACACTGCCCTTGCAATCCCACTGCACAAATTACAGGCAACCTCCTCAGAGCAAGCTCCTTTACTCTAGTTTAGCTCCAGTTACCAGGGATTTGTCCCTAATTCCTTTAATCATCCTCATAAGTCAGCTCCCCTCCTCCCACTACTTAATCATTCTTCTATGAATCGGTGACCCATAAACCTTATACAGATCACTAACATTTGTGTCAATAAATGCATGGGCTGTTTCACTCTGTAGTATTAATGATTTGGCTATGTCTTAGGGCAAAAAGAAAATGTTGCAGGTGACTGCTAGTCCAAAGATGAACATGCTGTTTCCTTCTATAGACCTACAGCACTATTTCCTACAGTCAAATAAATAACATGCCACTCTTCCTGAGAAGTTCCTTACTTTGCGTGAAGCCAAGAACTCCATTCCCCTCGCCACCTGGAAGCTATAACAGATGAGATCCTCCATGGTCAAAGGGTTCTTGCAAGGGTCTTCAGGACCAGCTGCAAAGAATCAGATGACAGTCAAACATGCCCTTTGTCACTGATTTCACCCATAACTGCTTCTTAGGTAAAAGTCCATCTTAACCTTATGCCACATTGAAAACCGAGCAAACCGAGCCCTTTTTTGGCTGTATAATTATCACTAACAACCCGTTTTACACCAAACTAGTCCTGTGTAAAATAAACTTTGAGATGGTGGGTTATACCCCAGGCCTCCTTGCTTATTTCCAGAGTTCCCACCAGTGGAAAGGTTTGCAAAACAATCCCAAAAGAAAACAACCAAAACTCAACTCACAAGTTCCTAGGACGGGAAAGGCTCGCTGTGGTTTCAGCAGATGAATTTGGAAACTGATGAGAGGGAGGCCCCCCCTAGTCCTTATGGGGGAAGAATATGCCACGGGGAGAAAGATTTGAATTTGGCAAAAAGCCCTGCTAATTTAGGGTCAAATAAGCCTAACCTCATCCTTTAGTGACCTGGAGGAATAATGTACTGAAGTATCCAACAAAGATACCTAGGCATTTAGTTCCTGCTGAAATAAACAACTCAATGACTTTGCTCAGCTCTTGATTTTAAGAAGAAATCTACCAAGAACTACAACACTGGTGGCTAAAACCCTCATCTCAAGGCCTGCTTTAGGTCTACATACTTCTTACAACATCCCAGCTCAGAGGGTCAGTGGTTACACCAGAGAGGTCTGAAAAGGACCAAAATGGTGTGGAAACGCATAAAGTGCATGCCTGACATTACCTATTAGGATCGCATTGAAACCACAAGATCATCCTCCCTGTTAACATACTGATGTTTTTCTTTGCATTAAATAATTTTTAGTAGAAGTCGAGGTACAGGCAGTTGAGCTACAGCCTCCCTCCTGACCAGTCTGATCCCACCGCTTACTGAAATCAGTGGTCTCTGAAACATGTTGGCAGCACTGAGCACTTTGTGCTGTCTCTGCCAAAGGAGAACCTGGCAAATGCATCACTGAAACCTCTGCAGAGGGTATGTATATTCAGGGGAGGCTTTGAATGAGCGGATAATTCGGGTTTCCTGTTCCTGACAGACCACCTGCGCAGAGGGAAGGCAAATCAACCTCTCTGCTAATAAGCAGTGAAGCAGATGGCATTTCACAATATTTAACTTCTGGGTAAACACTGAAGAAATCCAGTTAGCATCCTGGCGCGTCCCTCTTGCCTTCAGAGTTTGTGCTCTGCGATTTTCCCTGAAGACACTGGGATGTTAAATAGACAGATCTCCAAAAGGCAGTGCACTAAAAACACACCCTTTTCAGGCAGGACATTACCTGGGATTGGGCTGAGGGGTGTGGGATGCTGAACTAGATGATCCATGGATTGGGAACTTTGGTTATCCAGGAAATACCCCGCACACAGTGTTGAGGGAGCTTTGGAAATCACACGGTCCCCAGTGTCCCTCATCAGCCCCCACCAATGACAGCTGTTCCAACACCAGGAGAAGACATATCCTACCATCCTCCTCTTCCACATCACTCAGAGACCGCTCTTCCACAAAGCCAGAGCTTGCTGAGCTCTGGCTGCTCGTGATGCTGTCCAACCGTCGCTTCAGGTCCACGGAGACATCACCAACATAGTTCTCCTTCCCCTGCCGAAACCTGGCACTTTTGGTCTAGAAACGTGAGGGAAGGGTGGGAGAAATCAGAAGCAGAAAGCGTACCAGAAGCTTCCTCAGGAGAGGCAATGACGCGCCCCACAGTCTGTGCCATGGGCACCACTGAAGGCAGGGAGGGCAGCCCAGCACTGGCATGACCGGCCGCTCGGCTCCAAGCCAGCTCTAGTTGGGGGACCAGGCTGGCACGGTGACAGTGCCGGCAAACCCCAACTCATGGCCACGCAGGTTCACCAGCTCGAGCACCCTCTGCCACTACACAGCATGGCTTTAGCCTGGCTCCTGTGTCCTCCCAGCTGCCCCCATCAACATATCCACATGCTTGGGAATAAATGCCCCCCTGGTGCCCACAACTTGTGAAGCACGCGTGGATGCTGCTGAACCCCCTCTCATAATCTTGAGCCTCTCCGTACTGCTACGGCTTTATCTCCCGCTGCTGCAAAGACCCTTCCGCTAAACCTCTACCTTGGCCAAAACCCTGGCAGCCCTCAAAGTCAGATTTATTTCCTTGTTCCCCTAAGCCACCAAATGCCTCTAGGGAGGTTGCCAGCCCCGAAGGCTTCCTCGACCATGTTTCCATTTTCTCCTGCTTTGGTTTGGTGACTTTTCTGCCCTGGTAGGGCTGGTTTTTTCCATTGCCAATTCCCAACCCCACCGCTTGTGTAAGCAAGGGTCAGCACCCTTGTGAAACCCTGCCTCTTCCTTCAAGGTCTCTCAGATATTTGTTTACCCTTTTCACCTCACAAGAGGATGCAGTGAGTTGCCTTTGCCAATATAAAATAGTAAACAATGACTCCAAGGATAAAGAAAAATAACCCCCTGGAAAACCGACAAGCAGTTTGAAGAAGCTCTTATCTAAACACAGCAGCTACAGGAAGACTGAAGTTCAGGTCTACCAGCATGGCAGAGCACAGCCCAGGGGCCTCCCTCCTGGCCATAGGTAAAAACGGTAGGGTCCCGAGCATGATGCTCGGTGCCGAGTACCCACAGCCATGCTCCTCATACGGCAATCTGACCCTCGGAGGGGATGGATCCTCCCAACCCTCTCCAGAAATCAGATCTCCTCGCAGAGGCAACCAGAAATGAGTTTGAAAATGCCAATCTCCATCCCCACTCTCCTTTCAAACTGGGCTGCAAAGAGGGGCTGTTGTGATGGGAACTCGCCTTTGCAAAGGACTTGGGAAGTGAAAAGCTGAACATAAACTCATGAGATACATCACTTATACAAAATGGTTAACAGCAAAAAAAATGTATAGTCTGGTTCAGCAATGAGCCAAGGGGATAGCAGAAAGGATAATCGTGTAACAGAAGATACCTATGGGTATCTGATGGATATATACACTAAGCAGAGAGTGCAGTTATTTAAGGTGGTCTGGAGCTTAACTAAGAAAGGAAAAAATTCAGGCTGATTATCAGAAAAAACTTCCTGACAGATAGGGCCAAGTGTAGAATAATCTGCCAAGGGAAATAGTGGAAGCCCAGTTCCTTTGCACATTTTAAGCTAACAATAACAAAAGAGCTACATTGCAGAGGCCAGGGGAAAGACTAGATGACCTCTGATGTCTTTGCCATCTCTCATTCCCATGAGAAGTACTAGATATTCAGCATCCCCAAGGATTGCCGCTACAGTCGGCACTAGAAACAGAAACATCGTGTGTGGAAAAAACCCACCATATCAAACATTATGCTGTTAACCTTGACTCCTTACCTTGTACGGGACAAATTCACTCCTCTTGCTCCGTAGGTAAGCTGACAGATTTCCAAACTTGCAATATTCCACGATCACCATGAGTGGGCCTGTATAACACATAAAGCAATTCCTTAGAAAGACCATTTATATCCCACCTTACCTCACAGCATAATTTGTGGCTAGAAATACATACGTTTCAAAAAGCATTCTACTACGCAGAGGTTTTTAAAAATACCAGTAATAAAAAAAAAAATCTGTTCAAAGCAGGGAAATTATTCCTTTTCTGCTGTATAAGGAAGGGAATGAGAGCACAGCCTTTGAAAACCACAGGCCTAATTTCATATGTGAAAATGTATAGTGCTGTGCTTATACTTAAAGTCCCAATAACTGCCTATGCTAATTGACGCTGTAAGGATGCGACATACATATTTGAATGAACTTCAGTGCAATTAACCACTCATCTGCAACAAAGTACACACATGATTATCCACGCATTTTTGTGCAGGCAGTTTAAGTCCTAAAAACTTGAAACAGGAATCTCAGTTTCAGACATAGATGCCTTAATAGACAGTCCAAATGGGGTATTTCATGCTCAAATTGCTTCATATAGGCATAGGCTACAATGACAAATTTCCACCCTAGGTTCCAGATACTGGCCATGTCTATTCTACTATGGAATAAACCAGGAAAGAAATATTCATGGATTATGTTTCCTTCAACTACTGCACTTCTGTCATGGAACTTTACAAATTAAATTCTGATCCCACAGTAAGCCAACAAGTCAGCTTCCCTGAAAAATTATTACTGAGTCACTTCACACTGAATTTCTTCCAAATTAGCGTGCAGTGCTGGATTTGTTAAACGAAACATCTGTCCCCCATTATAAAGTAAAATAGGTTCATCCACCCAGAGCTGGACTCCGAATTACAATCTCCCCTCCTACACACACACAGAGGCACCCACAGCCCATCCAAAGCCAGGGAGGGAAGTCACAGCTTGCAATTGCACTGTAGCTGGTGACAAGAGTAAGACCAACTTGTTACATCTGGTACTAGGTCAGACCCAAAGTCTGTTACACGTGGGGTGTCCACTATGAAAGTGGATCTGAGTGACAGAAAAGCAGCGATAGAACAACTAAGGGATGGAGCTGGATGTAGAACTCAGGGCTTCTGAGCCCTTATTCCACCTCTGGACCTGCTCACTCTTAGCAGAATTTCTTTTTTAAAAAAGAAGACAATTTCTTCCAGATATTGATTTTGAAACTCAATTTTCTATGCAGCAGAAAAAGCAGAAATAGGGTTTTCATTAGCACCTTTCCACCCACTGAAAAGTCACTCACCTCCTGGCTTTGTGCAGGCTCCAAGTAAATTGACGACATTGAGATGGTGGCCAATATGAATGAGGATCTTCAGCTCCGACATAAGTGCTCTGTGCTCACTATGGGTTGCACCCTCTGCAGAGGTAAAACAACACAGATCAGGAGCATCACAGACAGAAAGATTTTCCCCTTCTCCGCAGTCTCTTCTGTTATTTTTCCAGCCCATCTAGTGAGAAGTCTTGTTGGTTGGTAGCCTGGATCAGCTCTGCTGCAGGACATCGATGAAAGCTAGACACATGCATGACAGGGTTGGTTTTGCTCTGCTTTTAAACATTTTCCAAAAATTGCCAAGGGCAGTGGATCAGAACAGGGACACAAACAATCCAGATTAGCAGACATCTTTTTTCCTACAGACCTTTTGAGCAGTTTGTACTCTGCCATTTGACCCTTCCAGTCAAGAAGAGCTAGAAACATTGTCCCATAGCCTTTGCTGGGGTCCACGCTAAGAGTCCAATGGATCCACGGACTGGGGGAGGTAGGGCCAGGGCCAAACATGCCTGACCCTGCAGCCTCACCAAAAGTCTGGAGATGTGGCTGGTGTCCTCATCCCACAGGGACAGAAGGGGAAGAGGAAAGAGCTGAAGCAGTGGGGAGAGAGGGGCAGAGGAGGCAGCTCTCTGCAGTCTGCCTGAGCACTAGGAAGCTGGAGGGACAGGACTTTCTAATTTTTATTGTCATTACTGCACGCTTATCCCATTGCAACGAGTCTGCAACAGGTCTTGCCTGTGCTTGCGACTGCACACACTGTTCTGTCAGAAATCCCTTGGCTTTCCCACCCTTCCTCCAGTACACCACAGTGTGGGATACAGCCCCTGGCTACTGGGAGCCCCATTTTTCTGCCCCAGCTACGTCCTCCTCAGGAACAGTGTGTCTGGGAACCACAGCTTTCAACTGTCCTGTGGCAAATGCAAGGCACTATAATATGATTTAAAGTGAGGAGAAAGCTGTTCAAAACTATTACTCATTTTGGAGCGTGCCTAAGCCATTGTCCGAGACTTGCAGAAAGCTCCCTACCAGGCTGCATAAGGCAAAAATGGACACATGCAAATTGCTTGCAGGAGCAAGTTTATATTCTAAACCTGAGTAGATCTATAAAGCAATGGCTAAGAAACCACAGTCACATTGCTCCAATTATCAATGAGGTAAAGGCATGTATTTTCCCTAATCGTTGCTTCATGACACCAACTGTTAAGCTAAACTTGTATACACCATTGGAACAGACGTGATTTTTTTCTATCTACTGGTTATAGTATTGGCAATTATCCCTATATTGTGTATTCAAGGTGAAGTTTTAGTCATCATTTTTACCTTTAAGCATTTTGACTGCCACTGTTTTGCAGGTAGCAGTTTTGTCGATCCCAAACGCATCTGCTTCTATGACCTGGCCAAAAGCTCCACGCCCAAGAGGTTTACCTTGAAGTGAGAAGACGAACATACTCCAATTTATTTGCCTGGCACAGTGGGCAAAAGATGCAGAATAAACAGCAACTCACACTGAATTTATGTATCAGAAATTAACAGAGGGCTGATAATGAGAGGATGCATTATATCCTACGGGATCACAGAGCCCACCCGGGGGTGCTGCATCAGGGCAGCCCCATGGCAAGCCAGGACCTGAAACACCCCCCAGGGCTGGCTGCAGTATCACTAAATGGCTCGTGCAATGAAGACACACCTAGCTTTAGCCGGTCTCTGGGAAACTCCCACTTGCTGGCATCATACGGGAGCCGTTCACAGTGCTCATCTATAGGGACTTCATCAGGATCCATGATGATTGACAAATAGCCAGTCTTCATGTCCCCTCCGTTGGCCTGGAAAATGGTATTAGTTGTAGTTGCACAGATTTTTTGCTGGTGATGTGCAAGCCATTTTCTCACTTTGTAGTGTTCCACTATTTCCCAGAAATGCCAGGCTACCATTTCCCTATGCCATGTCATTGTGCGATCATCGTTAATTACTTGCACTTTTTTTTTTTTTTTAATAAACAAAACCAGCTGAAACATTTTTTCTCATGTGAGTGCCTGTTCAATTAAAAACAAATTTCTGTGCCCCTGGTTCCAGGCAAGAATGTTAAGGCATGGAGAGAAAAAATGTGTCTGTTGATTTAAGAACAATGGAAAGAAACAACACAAAAGGCCTCAAGTCAGCTCTCGTTTGTCATGCAAGACCAGTGCTGACAGGACAGTACGAGAATTTTTTCATTACCCGCTTAACGGTCCGGAGGATGATTACAAGAAGCAACCAGAAGAACATGGCAATCACTGCAGTGCCAACAAGGATAATGAGCTCCAGATTCGTTTTCTCTTCAGCGCCTGGGAAGAAATAAATAAATATCTGAGTGATAGTTGGAAGCATATTGGTTTTGTTCATTCATTAAAGTAGAGAATGGAGGTCCTTGTTCTGAAGGTTCGTTTTAAAAGTGCAGCATGGAGCGAAGAAACGAAAGCAAAACAAAACAAAAAGCTTGGGTTTTTATGTTGGAATATTACTCTTAGTTTTGTGCTGTTTTACACACCACCCAATTTCTTAGCATCAGCTTTGTTCCAAGGACAGTATCTGGACCTTTGGCAAATATAAAAAAGTAAAATCTCGTATTTTAAAAAGAAATCATTGTTTTAGAATACTCAAAATTAATTACTCTTTCTCCAGAAACTGAAAAACCCATCATATAGTAAATAAAGTGCTGTGAGAATGACCCAGAGAACAATCTCTCTCTTGTCTCTTTACATGCTTCAGCTGAGGCATGAAAAAACGCGGTTCTACAAGAACACATGAAAATAAGTTCTTATTTACAACATCCCTTTTCCAGTAAAATAGACTCCAGCAGATACCACTTGAACATCTATTAATGCGCAGGAGCAGCTCTCTTCTTAAGCTCCCATTCGCCACATCACGCTCCCGTATTTCATCCCTCGCACCATACAGGTTTTCCTACACAGTAGCACACTCCATTGCATGACCCCAATGAGCTGCACGAGAAATTTCTTGGAGGGAAACAGTATGTCCTACACAGATTTCCAACTTTTACAGACATGCCCCAGCCATATTTACCACATCAGCTGAAATCTACATTGATGTCAGCTGCAGATAATTTCCACCCCAAGTAAACATATTGCCCAACATCTTAATATCCTAATGGGACCTATAAGAATAACAGGATACTGCTTTAATTACCTTAACGGAACAGATCGGACAATCACCCTGACTTATAAGACAGAGGTTTGTGAAGGATTCAGTGACTAAATTTTGCAAATGTACTAATATCAAGGGCAAGGAGCTGTTAGTTCAAGGCTTCTCATTGCAACTCTTGGTGGAAAGTCCATCATGGTTACAGCTACTCAGACTGCAGACTAACCTCTTGTTGGGATTTATTGTTTATTATTGCAAATTGCATTTCGGTGTGCCACAATAGGACTGGAACAAGTGAGAGATGGGTCTCACAAACGTTACTTTCAGAGCTTGGTGGACTAAGGCTGGAGTCCCCTAACCCAAAACAGCTACCTGTTCCTGTCACTGAAATGGGACGGCAATCACAACAGACTGCACAAAGTCTTCACTCTGTTTTTCTTAGATGCTGTGACAGCAATGACATAGTTTAAAAAGTTACAACTGTTAAAAAACATAGTATGACAATTATGTTACCAAGACAATAGAGATGGCCCAGGATATCTGCAGGTTTAGGTAGGCTCTGTTGTATAGGTTTGCATGTAATATAGACTGACAGAGTTTTCTTTGCAACCACAAGTAAGATAGATTCAGCTTTTGCTGAAAAGCTCTAAATGATGTTGGGGAGAAGAAAGCGTCAGCATCAACAGCTGGGATTACGATGGCTGTGACAGCACCCAATTTGAGCTCAATAGGAATGGTCAGGACTTTTCGCAAATCTCATTGTGTATTTTCAGAACTCCGATGAGGATAGCCAGTAGATTTTCCTTTTAGTGATTATAAAAATTTCATGCACAATCGGGAAAGAAGCTAACACTAACCTTCCACTGAAAAAAAAGCCACTGCTTTTCTGCATCCAAGGACGTTGCAGGCAAGGCAGGTGTATAGCCCTCCATCTTCTTTCCTTACTCGACGTATGGTTAGTGTTTTGTTTCCATCTTTCAAAACAATACCTGGAAAAAATCATGATTCTTAGTTCTGCTATTTTTATGCCACTTTGTGTTAAAAATTCAAAATGAAACTTTTCATGGTGAACATCAGCAGTGAGTCCCATGAAACAAAGTCCTTAAGTGATAGAAAATTATAGCAAAGGAGCAATCCTCACCTGAATCTTCAACAAGGGTTTCGTTATTTTTAAACCACATGATGTTTGGAGGAGGAATGCCATTCGCTGTGCATGACACTTCTATGGTTTCACCAATGTTTGTTGTTTGATTTTCCAGATTTCCTACGAGTGTAGGTGCCATGGGCTCTGTTGGTTCGAAAGTACAGCAAAATTACTGACCATTAAAGAAAACATCCATTTTTGCAGTAATAGCACATGATGACACTCTACACACTTGGCCCAGTAACAAAGTCACAAATCCTTTTATAACAACAACAGCCACAACGATCATGTTAAGATCATAGTTAAACTTCCACATGACACGAAAAAGTGACAATAGCCAAGAAAATTTTAACAGTATTGATGTACCTTGCTTTACATGGTTTAATTTGTAGCAGGCTGCTGAGGGAGGAGGGAATAGGTGAGAAATTGCTTCCCTCACATTTCTATTTCCAGGGTCATTACGAGAAGTCTGATACTGCTGGTCCATCAAACGTCCATTCAGGACAGCCCATGAACATGTGTAAATATTTTCCTGAATCTGCCTAATCAGCCTAGACATCTAGGTCCCAAAGCAAAGTCATCTGTATTTGTGTGAAAAGCTGATTGATTGCATTGCTTGCGCCTGAATACCAGCACCACTTCGTGACAGTTTTAAATTATAGACACTACTTCAAACTCAAGAGCCAGTGACACAAAACAGTAGCATTAATGCTATGAATACACACATGGATATACAGCTAGAGTGAAAAACGTGTTTTGAAAAGTAAAATGGAGAAGTTATTGAGCTAAACCCATGCCTTATTTGTGCAAAAGCCAAACTCATCGCCTTGCACAGCACAGTGGCTCGGTCAGTGTTTCCTCACCGGTACTGATGAAATAGTAAGTCTCTGCTGCCCGGACCTGCATGTTACAACAAATAGTCTAAATCTATTTAACAAACTGAGTGCACCATTAAGCCAACACATGCAAGGCCTGAAGATACCAAAAACTGACACTACAGCAGTTATTTTCATACACAGCCACCCATTTTGGTTAACAGTAAGAGATCTGTACCTTGAACAGTGAGGTGCTTCACCAGGCAGTGCTGTGTTTTAGCCTTTTTGTCCTGAGCAATGCAAACATAGTCTCCTCCATCCTGGAGGGAGATGTTACGAAGGATGAGCTCTAAGGTGACATTTTCACCATTGGTATTTGAAACTGTTGCATTCAGCTTCTGGAGAGCATTGAGGTTCTTGCAAACGGGCATGGGCAGCCCTCCAAAGGGAGTCTGCGAAGCGTGAGCACTGAGTTTGTACCATGATAGCTTCTCAAAGGTGAATTTGTCTGCCGTGCATTGCAAGGACATGTTATCCTTCTCTGTGAGCTGATTCCGAGGCTGGAGATTAATTTCAAGACCCCCTGCAAGTTAAAAAAATAAAAGAAATTCCTATGAGGTTGCACATTTTGTTGCCAACAGTAACTTGAAAAAGCCATTTTACAAATATAGCCTTATCCTCATCTTGGCCAGTTGTAAATAAGGAAAGAAAACACTGAAAAATCAACGAATCATTTATGTAAAGAGTACAATCTCATTAAAAACAATACATTTAAAACGGATCAAAGAAAGGCCTGTGTAATGAATGTAGTTCCTCTTACTGTAGAAACTTCTGGCAACCTAAGATGATTCTTAGCACTATCTCGTAGTTCATTTTTAGATTTCAATTAAAATATTATTTCAGCATGTGAATATGGGGACTGATTTTCAAGAAGACAGAAGCCCTTTGCCACTGCTTTTGAAAATGTTGGTCTTAGCTTTTACAGTACATCTTTACTCATTTTGTGACACTACAATAATTTCTCTGTAGCTCTTTTAAGTAACTGCAAAAGCCCAATAGCAATCACTCTCGGGACAACAGTGCCCATTTTGCATCATTTTCACGGGACTGCCACTCCACTGATGCCAGCAGAACTAACCACTTGGCTGAAGTTAGGTGGTGACTTTAAAGGAGGCATTAGGAAAACCTTAGGAAAACCTAAATTTCTAAAGAATGAAAGGATTTGATAAAGGACAGGAATCAGACAACAACATTGAAGCACCTATCATTAGCGAAACAGACAAAATAACATTAATTTAACATGGCTGTCCTCAACAGGGTATACTTACTGGTCACATGAAAGGAGATAACTCTCTCACTTGACCCAGCTCTGTTCGTAGCCATACATCTATACAAAGCAGATACATTCGCTGCTTGAATCACGAGGGTGCTCACAGTCTACAAAAGAACAATCGAGTAATTTCATACTGCGTCAGTGCTGAAGTACGTATGTGAACCCGAACCACCTCAACAGCTCAGCAAAGTGCTCTGCAGATATCTGCACAACCAAAAATCCCTCCACAGCACAAATCCATGGCACAGCAGGAGCACAGTCGCCTTCTGACATTTACATTTTTTTCCTTAAGCCTGTAACAATCAGGCAAAAGAAAACAAGAAAAAGCAGCCTGCCAGAAGGCAGACTTCAGTATGTGTTAATAAATGCTGCACCCACGACTTCTTCTGCTCTTCAGTCTCTCCAGCTTCTCCCTATTACAGTTAATTGGCAAGATTAACTCACCTAACTTCAGACCGCTAAAAGGTAAGCACTGAAATCCAAGTTATGTTCCTCAGTGGAGACTCACTTTGGGTCAGTGTCTAAAGGACTTGAAAGTGTCTACCTCTGCCGATTGGCTTCAGTACAAGCTTGCACAACTAGCTGTGAGTAGATCCCCATGTTTAACAAAAGGTGAAGAGAGTCTCATCTCTAGTGATGTATTTCCAGATGTGTGGACTGCTGAACAGGGCTAATCAACAGAAAAGAAAATCTGCTCACCTTTGTTTTCCCAGCAATAGTAACAACTCGGTGCTTAATTTCAACCTGATTCCCACCCTTTCTCTCCGAGATCACTTTCCATTTCCTGCATGCATACGGATTGGCTCCCGAGCGAACTTTCCTGAGATGTAAGTAGAGACACATGTATTAGATAAG